TGTGATGTTATGCGGTGTGGTGTGATGTAATGTGGTGTGATGTGATGTAATGTGATGTGGTGTGGTGTGATGTAATGTGGTGTGGTGCGATGTAATGCAGTGTGTTGTGGTGTGGTGTGATGTAATGTGGTGTGATGTAATGTAATGTGGTGTAATGCAGTCTGGTGTCAAAGCCAACCTTCATTTTGAGTAGCCTTCTCAGGAGCAGGTCCCCTGACATGAATTATCCCACATCTGTTAGGCATCTCATCTTCATGTGGGTAATCTCCACCATTATAGTAATCCAGAGAATGTACAATCCTTAAATACAGAACCAGTCTGTCCAACACTCGAAGCAAATTCTCATCAATAGTCAAATCAACCTCTGACTTCTCTACATTAGCATCCGGTGTTCCAGAAGATGTTCCTAATAGCTCCATTTCTTCCCCTTCTTCTTCTTCGGTRGCGTCTTCTGATAGGGATGCAAGGATGGGGTTCTCGTCTGGGAGGTTGACGTTGGTCTCCTTTTCATCTGCTCTTTCTTCTCCTTCTTCTCCTTCTTCCTTTTTCTTGGGGATGAAAATGTTTCAAATTGAATAAAGAAAGTTTATTGTGAGAGAAAATTTGTCTGGCTTGAGTAAGTTTAAAAACAGTACTCACTACCTTCCATACATCAGTTCACTGGTAACACATAAAGCATGGATTCAATCAAGGCTGTGAGGTAGTTTCATGGGTTATTCAAATTTGAACATTGCCTCAGATAAATGCTCTGTGTTTGACCAGTGAACTGATGTATAGAAAGAAGTGAATGAACATATTTCGTTAAAATGTTCCCACAAAAGAGTAACTCAAACAAAACCAAGGCATGAATGAGAGTTGCAAAGTGAGTATTAATGTAGCACAGGTTATGAATATAAAACAAGTGGTTGATATTGATGGACCAATACTTGTGCCGACTGTGCAATAATATGATTAAATCAAATTGTGTTTGAAGTTTTTCACTTTTTACTCTATATCATATACTATAATTAATAATATAGACTATAAAATTTATTTTGTTGCTGTTAATGTTAAGTAAAGTTTGTTTGAAAGATGGCTTAGGATATGCTGAATATTTTAAACAAATTTGAGTTTAAAATATTCAAAATTTAAGTTACAAATTCAAAATATCCATCCTCCAACGATGGAGGAAATTGGAAATTCTGGAGGGAAGTGGGGTCAGAGAAAGAGCAAAATTACAGAGTTTGTATGGAAGAAAATTGGAAGTTCCTGGGGGTAGGGGGGTCCTTTTACAAATTTCCTCTGTGGTGGGTATGGATATTTTCTGGAAATAAACAATAATAATGTGATGTTCATTTGAATTAATTTAATAGCCTTTGTACCTCAGAATCCTTATCTTTTCCATTGCTTTCCTCCATCTTTTTCTCCTTTTCATAAACACAAGATTTCTTGTCTAGTATCCTGATAAGCTGAGCAGCAAGCTTGATATCCTCCCTAATGACCTGTTTGGCAAACGTCAGACCACTGACTGTACGTACACGACGGGACAGGTCACGGTTCACCACAGGGTTGAGCTCAACATCTTTTAACTTTTAAAAAAAATATATTATAACCTTAGAAAGGTGGATTTAGAAAGTCATACATGGTATCTTAAGTGTGCATCATGGATAATATATAAATTTAGACACTGCCTAAAAGCAGAGCTCCCAATACTAGGCACAGGGAAGCCAATTTAAATAAAACTGAAAGATGAAAATAAAGTTGGGAAAAAAAATATTCAATTTTWAAAAAATATGAGACGAAAAATCAAAATGCACTACATATACATTGTTTTCTTATGCCAATATAAGAACAAATAATATCTAGAAATAACAACAGACTGGCCATACCCTTATGTTGTTGAGGTCCCAGCAGATTTCCTTGATATTCACACTTCTTTCAAAGGTTATCCAGCCTCTTCGATAAAATCTATAAAAGAAGAATTTTAATATTAGTTAATTGGGCCATAAACCTCTGAGAAATAACTACACTAAATCATCAATTACCTCCCACCCTCCCTACCTACCCACATGTACCTACCTACCTACCCACATGTACCTACCTACCTACCTACATGTAACTACCTACCTACCTACATGTACCTACCTACATGTGCCTACCTACCTACCTACATGTGCCTACCTACCTACCCACATGTACCTACCTACCTACCCACATGTACCTACCTACCTACCCACATGTACCTACCTACCTACCTACATGTACCTACCTACATGTACCTACCTACATGTACCTACCTACCTACCCACATGTACCTACCTACAGGTACCTACCTACCTACCTACCTACCTACCTACCTACATGTACCTACCTACCTACCTATTTTGCGCTAGACTTATCATGTATAAATTTTGTACATGAAATTTTAAAATCTTTATAATATGAGTCCTATATGCAAGAATTAACCATAGTAAACAGTTTTTCAAAAAGCAATTAATTCTCTTCCTTTACCTTCTATCAGGGCTTGGATCYGAGAGTGCAACTCTTAGAAATCCAGTAAATCTTTTACAAATCTACAAAGAGAAAAATAATGATAAAATTTTTATGATCATTTCACAGGTTACTACTACCAAGACTTCCAGATAAAGCTAAAAGCTGATGTTCCCACGGAAGAGTAACTCAGTTAGTTTCAAAGGATTAGAGACCTTTAGCACGATGTCCTTGCTAGTTACCGAAAACCTCAAACTGCAGTTTGACGTCAGGATAACTGTTGACTAACTATCAACATTTAGCAAGGGATAACAAAGTTGTTGCTGGAAGAGCTGCCATGTTGAATTTCATTGATGCTGAGTGTTTGTTTGTGTTCAAGGTTAGCGATAAACCTGATGCTAAAGGTCTCTATTGTTCATATTAAAACCTTGCAACTTCAATAGACCYCTTGAGCAGTGAGCTTGCAATGATAGGGACATGTGAATAATTCTCCAAGGTGTTAAAAAAAGGTCTCTATCATTGCACGCTCGCCGTTCATCTTGCTTTGATGCAAGGCCCTGCTACCTTTCAAGATGGCGTAGGGAACCGTGAAGGGGACTAATTAATTCATTTTGTTTGACCAGTGAACCAATGTACAGAAAGTAGTGAATGAAGGTATTTCGTTAAAATGTTCCCGCTAAAGAGTAACTCAATCAAAACCAAGGCATGAATGAGGGTTGCAAAGTGAGTATTAATGTAGCACAGGTTGTAATCATAAAACAAGTGGTTGATACTGATGGACCAATGCTTGTGCCGACTGTGCAATAAATATGTTTCCCACTCCCCTTAGTTACTGTTGCTATGCCAGAAGCTTAACAACTTGCTAAAATATCTAAAAATTTGAAATCAACTTCTAAAATTCAAATTTAACTTTAGGAGATATTCCAGATAGGGTTAATCTCTCATACTTCCTTTCACACTATATTATGAATAAATTGATGATTTTATATCGATCCACTCATTCATCTGTTCATACAGACATCTACTCATTTTCCMATTTCTTCATCCTCCCATTCACTTGTACTATTGTTCTAGTACCCAACTTACGGCAGCAATGTCTCCCTTGGATATGCTAGGTGGAATGTTTCTCATAAACAGAGAATAAGTCTTGTGTAATGGTCTAGGTTCTGGGGATAGGGCCACCACTTCTTTGCCTTGTTGTGATGGCTTTTCTTTTTCTTCTTCTCCATCTTCAGCTGAATCTTTCTCTTTCTCTTCAACGGCATTTTCTTTAGATTCTTTGGCAGGAGAGGGTTTGACTGGACTCTCTTCCTCCTTTACTTCTTTTTTCTCTGCCAGTCTGTTGGAATCCATCTCTTCTGGATTCTATAACAAAACAAAAAACCAAAACAAATATTTTTATTCACGTTGGTATCATTATTATTATTGTTGTTGATGTTGTTATATTGCTGATGTTGTTGTTATATGATATTGCTGCTGTGTTGTTTAAGTTGCTGTTGATGTCTTTGTCGATGATGTTGATGATGACAACGATGGCCATCAAGTTGTTGTTAATGATGATAAGACTTTAGTGGATTCCCAGGTTGGTGTAACTTAGCATTGCACTTGTCTTTCACCTATGTGAGTAGAGTTATAGTGGGTCTCTCCCTTGATTTAGGTTTTTTTTTTTTTGCTTTCCTCAACCCATAAAATGCAACACACATTTTGTTTCAGCCAATCACAGCACGTTTAGCAGTTTTGCTGCCGGCCCTCATTTCAAAGCTACTATAACCCAACTTTTGCATATTTTTCTGTTTTCTTTTGACTAAAATATAATATATGTGCCTACAAGAAGCAGAAAAAAAACAATTTCACTTTACTACATTTACCATGTTTGTCTTGTCTTAAAAAACCAAAAATGCTTAGGGCCAATCATTTTGTCCACTGATGCTTTGTGCACCACATTCACTGTTCAGCTGGTGCCTTAGATCAGACAGAGGTAGTTTCGAGGTTTGAATTATATTAAGTTGTCTAGGTTGCATAATTATGAAAACATGATATAATAAAACAGGCAAGAGAGAACACTAAAACCTGTTAATCACCCAGGGTATCTGTCAAGTATACCTTGTTTTGTGGAGTTACAGGGGTTGAAGGCATTTCTACATCAGTATTTGACTCAGCTTCACCATCAACAGAGATCTTCCTGACAACATCACTAGATGATTCCGGTGCCATGTCTACATCTTCATTGTCCTTGGCAGCAGAACTGACTGTGGCATCTGAGCTCACAGTACTACTACCCACTTGTGGGTCCCCTGTTTGCCTCTTGATACTCTCTTCTGATTGATCAGGGCTGTCAGACTGAGGCTTAGTGTCAGGACTTTGTGTTGAGTCTATTGCAGAATCATCTGTTGATGAGAATAAAATTCATGTCATGAGAATAAAATCCATTTATGATAAGAAAGATTCTGGCATTTAACAAGGCTGCCAGCATGCTTGTGCAAAACCCCTCATGCTTTACTACTGTTCAGAGAACTTTTGCAAATGTGTTGTTCCAGAAAATATCCAGAAACGAGAAGGTATTTTAGAAAACAAAAGTTAATTCCTATAATCCTATTAATTCTTATGGAAAAGAAATGAGAAGGCATTTTAGAAAAGCTAGCTACCTGAGGTGCCTGGGGCTGGTTTAGTTGGTTTTGTTGCTGCTGTGTCTTGACTGCTCACTTCCATTTCAGGTTCACTGGAGCCAACAGCATCATCTGCAGCTGAATCTACAGGGAAAGAAACCATGTGAGACACAGGTCAGGATTGCTCTCTCTCTCTCTTACTCTCTGTCATGATAACATTATTTTGCTGTGATATTTTGATTTAATATTTTGTTTTCATATTTTGTTGTGTATTATATACTGCAATTATTTTTGTGTAAACTTGAGAAGCTGGAATCCACTCTGCTTGATGTCATCCTGCTGGTACCATCCTGCTTATCAGAGTTTTTTCTCCTCCTTAGAAATCAAATTTTAAATTCTAATTCGATCTTTGGGCTTTAACCCAATTTTGAGCTTAGGTCTTTTGTGATTATCCCATGCTGTGATACAACAGCAGGGGTTTCAATAGAAGGTGGCTACCAGCGGTTTATCACCGGGTACTTACCCTCATACCGCCGGCTATTTTGCGAATCAGTCTTAATAAATAAGAAGTAAAATTTGTGGAAACAGACGTGTACTTTTGAGTTTCATCCATCTACTTCAAATATTATTGAAAGCCCTGCAACAGCCAAAGTCTAATAGATTTAGATTTTTTAAAATAGAGTATCTAAAATGGAAAACTTTTTAATATTTCTTAATTTGTTCTCACCTGGTTTATCATCTTTTTCCACACCTGATGAACTAGTTGGCAGCTGGATGGCGGCTTCTGCTGTAGAGGAATCATCAACTCCTAATGGTACAAAATGCAATGGATTACTTTTTTCTGTTTTGTTGTTAAAGATATTATTCTCTATACTTTCTTACCACTGGCATCCAATAAACTGTTAGACGTGCTATAAATCTCTATGTCTCACAGCACACTTAACATGCTGTATACTATGTATAGACTATGGTAAGGACAATATTTCTCACCTGGAGGCTTGATATCCTCATCAGCTGCTGGTGCTGCCTCCGCCTCCACCCCTGGGGGTAACAGTTCCTCTTCTCCTTTTGCTTCGTTGGATGACATTTCTTCCCCAGGGGGAGCGGGCTCAGAATCAGACTCTGAATCAGATTCACTCTCACTTTCATCTTCTATTGCATCATAATAGTATGGTTCTCTATGTCGATGTTTGCGTTTCTTTTTTCCAGCTTCCTCCTTCGGTAAAAGACAAGTAATTTAACAACTGGTAACTGAATAAACATTATTGATGAAGTATACAACAGTTTTCCATGTTTGACACTCATCAAAACACCTGGAATGCTGAGAGAACAAGAGGGAATAGTGGAAAACCACAACGAGAAACTACAACAAGAAGCTCACATAAACAGCACAGAAAATGAAAGAAAAAGGAGTGTTCAAACAGTTTTTGGACCAACCAGAGCATGCATGGGTTATATCTAAATTATTTTATAATATTTTTTAAATAAAAGGAAGGACAAAATCAAAATCAAAATTATTTATTGATATTTTTTTTAATGTAAGGAAGGACAAAACAATGGACCCTTCTCAAAATGCAAAAGAAATACCACAAATTCCATTGATAAAAAGTGTGATTTTTAAAAAAATTTCCTGTTAGCCTCACATCTAAGGTAATTTTGAGAAAAGTCCATTAAGAAATACATAGTACTAAAACATAAACACTACCAAAGCTTAGGCTATTGTTTGTGCTTTAACCTTTCATAAATCCCATCGCTAACTAGACATGATGTTACTAGTCATTCTCTAGAGTATTATTTCTTTGTTAAACAAAGAAATGAGAAAACACATGAATGTGGATAAAACTGAAACGAAGAATCTTATTTTTATTAGGATGAAACCTGTACTGAAATGGGAAAACCTTATGCCGAAGCTAAAGATGTCTCTCACCTTTCCTTCRCTTTGTTTTTGTTCTTGTTGCTTTTGTTGTCCTGATTTGTCTGCCATTCCCTGCTGCTACATTAAACAAAAGGCATATTATCTTACCGAAAAATCATAATAACAGCGATTGCTTCTTTGGATCTATTGTACAGAAGTCACATGATACAAAAAAAATAGTGTACTGAAGTGTGACGTCATCAAGTTCCATATTTCGCAATATAGTTTTGAAATATTCATATTTGAAGAGAATTTAAGGCTGTTGTGAGCTGTAGAAAGGGAGATATTGTCCCATACATTTTATTTTATTTTGCACTGGATCCTATCACGTTATATCATCCAGCCCTAAATAATAGAAAATCTATGGAGATATTTTTCATATTTCAGCTGGTTTTTCACTCTGTTGATCTAAAATGCCACACTATATCATATTTTTACAGGCAGTTTCTGATAATGTCAACAAAATCCTAAAGTTCTTAAAAAAGACTGGTTTATGAGGTGTTTGGCCAGACATGACTATTGGACTCAGACTGTGCAATGAACCAATGTTATTTCAAGCTCTGTAAAATTTCCATAGATTTCTCACCTGTTGTTGAAAGAGCTGACTCTGTTGATGGTAAAACTGTGCCTGTTCTTGTAGTTTCTTCTGTTCAGGGGTGGGGTCAGCTATGGTTATTGGCTTTGGATCACTCTTTGTACTAGGGGTTGTTGAGGGGGGTGGGGCATCAGGTAGAGGAACTGACGATGGTGATATTGGGTTGATCTCTGAATCTATAAATAAAGAAGTCAACAATGAGATGTGTTCTAAATTCAAATCAGATATACTCAAGGTCAATCTAAAGCTAGTCCTGAAACAAACTAAGATATAATGTAGAACTATGTGTTTAACTGGGAGCCCCCGTGCCTTGAAGTGCTCTTTTGGTGGATTTAAATTACATACATGTAGAGCTTGAACTTGGCAGTAGTCAACTAGTCAAATAATGGGGCTAAAAGAAATTTAGGCAAAGTTAAAGTCAAGGCACGCTGGCCAGAGGTCTTCGGTTGCTGCAGGAGCGCCTTCAGGGGYTTCATAGCACATACATGTATCATGCTCCAATTCATCTGTGCCAATGAGTTTAATAAGTGATTTTTTGGCTATTGAAATTTGCTTATTTAATACCATATTGACTAAGAATTATGAGTAACTTTTTTGTAACAATATAACAGGGACGAGAAACAAATCAGCCAATGAAAATTCTAGACACATACAGCACAGAACTCTTCACAGCCAAGCGTAAACTGTACTACATACCTTTGTTATCTTTGGACTTGTTTGGTGAAGGTGACCGTGAGTGTGTGTGCGATCTTCCCTTTCTCCTGTCTCTCTTTGAATCAGAAGAGTGAGCTTCTTTCTCTTCATTCATCTTTCTTTCTGGAGAAGGTGCTCTGTCAAGAATGGTTAGGTCAAAATCTGATCCTCCTTCTAGTTTAATGACCACTGTAAGAAAGAGAAAAAAAAATGCTATTACTTGCTTTGCCCAGACTGAAAAGTAACATTCTGGAAATGTATCAAATATATGTAATTTGTTGAATAAGGTGAAGAGAATATCATTCTAAACCAATGGACTTAACAAAAAGACCATTTTTGAGTTTAAAAATTACTGCTGTATTCCTTGATTACAGCCTCATTTACTCAAGCTTAGCCTCGTATTGGTGTCTAAATATTCACAAATACCAACAGTAAAGTAAAAAATGCACAGCTTTAATGATACAAACACTTTGAAATTAAACGGGCCTTCACAAGAACACTGGAGGCTAACCCTGAGCAACAGAGAACTCAAAACTGGAGTATTTATTCTTCCTCTTCCCTCTATGATCCATAGAAACTATACCTGCATCTAAGAGTTTTACTATATTATCTGAATGATCCACGTCAAGAAGAAGAGAGTCAGCACGGCCTGACTTCATCAGCTCTAGGAAAACTGAAACTCTTTTCTTCACTGCCTTTTGCATCTCTTTGTTTCGGACTGCAGCCTCTTTAGGATGGTACTTTCCCCTAAACCTAGATAATATTTAGAAAAAATATCTTACTACTGTAGTAATGAGAATATAATAATCTTAAGTATTATGAACTGTATATATAAAGGTTACCTGACTGGGTGCAACCCCTAGGCATGACCTATGCGATTCCGATGGGGAGTGTCCTTATGCCCTCGCAATGTTACTCAATAACACAACCATCACATTCGAAAGAACATACATTTCTTGTTAACACTTAGTAAAAAGCCTTGTGGCTTTGTCAAAAAAGCTCAAATTTTGAGCAAAAAAACTCTAAGCCTAAATAACCAACTGCATTGTGCGCAGAGGTAATCAACTAAAAGTGATTTTAGCTCTTGTGTTTTGGCTAGCCAGCTCTGTGTTTGATGAAATATTGGGGGCTTTGTGCCTTTAATGCGGTAGTTGCCTAAACCAGCATAAAAAGACAGATAGTACTACATCCACCAAGCGTTCTTGTTTAGTTATTACACACAGTTGGCTGTAAAGGCAATGGTGTGGGTTAGCAACAAACACAAACTAAAAACTAATAAACGGCAACACAACACAACAAACTTAACAAATTTCTGATGGTTTTGCATGGTATGATCTCTTATTTACTATGATATGATGTCGACAGTTGGTCAAAATGATATGTACTCAAAAGGTAGAGCCAAATTTTGACCAACTGTTGGTAAATAAGAGGACATACCACAAAAAACAATCAGAAATTTGTTTTTTTCTTACTACAAAAAAGACATGCTAAAAATTTGAAAGGAAAACGGTGGTTTCTAGCACTTGCTGGCTCTGTTTGCAAGCGAATGATTTATTGATTTAGTGAGAAAATTTATGGTAAATTTGTAAACGTATTTAGCTAATTGGTAGGATTTTCTCCTTTCCATAGCCATTTATATTTTTCCTGGCCACAGAAACAAAGCATTCTCAGAAATGGTGGATAAATGGACTTTACATTATCAGACCTTTTCTTACCCTGAAACACATGTACAAGCAGAAGCAACATTTTAAGACTGATTACAAGTGTAAGGAAAACCAGTTGCTAATTGAGCAAAGCTGCAGAAATACAGAGCTTAAAATATGGACTAGAAGACAGACAATATCTGGCCAAAATTGGCACTTGTTCAGGAAAACAACTCTTAGGCTGGTCCTCCTGACTGGTTATATTTGGATTGTCCTAATATCTGGCCATTGAGCAGCCTTTAATTTTTAGCTCTGAACTAAGTCTGTATATGTTGCTAATGCAACAAAAAAAAAAAGGTTTGTAAACATCTAGAGGGTAACAACTAGTGTTACCCTCCTTAATTGTAAATAATAATTTAATTTAATTTAATTTAAAAAATTTTAAAAAAATGTTGCTAATGCTTAAAACATGATGTAAATTCATTCGCCAATAACAACCATAAAATGGTAGTAGCAAAAGCACCCAACAAGACAATTGGGACAGCAAAGCAACATTATCAGACATGTGGAATACAATGAAGAATAATCTTATTGAAATAATTATCACCTGAAAACGATATTACATTCTCCAATGTTTGTCGTGGAGTAGCTGGGCTACATTCGCTTAACACTCCATTTTACAGTTCTGTTCAGTGACCATGAGTGATTCAAAGCCAAGGTTGGATTTCCTGCGCAAGATAAAAAGTATAGTTCTGCTATGCGCGGAAACTCCAATTTCAACTTGGAACTATTATTTGTGGGCACTGAACAGAACTGTGAAATGGAGTATTTCCCAATACTTTCAAATGGAATCATTAAGACATATGATAATAGATCTATAGCACTCAGTTGGTGAGGTTAGGTGTCTTAGTCTTGTCTTTGATCCCTACCYCACACAAGCTTCATTTTAACCACAAGATGTGTTGACACAATCATATCCTGGTTGTTAGACATTTTGGCTTCAATTAATAGAAAAACTATTACACAACTTTGTTTGACAACAGTTAAAAGCTTCTTGTGACACAAGAATTCCTTGGAAAAATGAATTGCTCAAGGGATAGGAGACTGTCTGACATTTGATGGACTAGTCTGATCCACATTAATATATGATACTCATGTCTCCATGATCTGAAGCAGAACACTTCTGCTCCTTTATGACCCTTTTAACTGTTATTAAGCCAATTATATTGTGAATCTATCTATTAACAGGAATCCATAATAAGATTTACAGTATTTCTCCCTTAATTTTCATGAAAAGAAAGAACATACCATTCTTCTTCTTTGTGTTGTTGAAAGAAGTCGCCCAGCTGTGTCTTGCGGAATTCAAGTTTATACTCTTGGTACTTCCTGACTGCTTCTGTGTCTTCAATATCATCTTCTTGGGCATTCAAGAACTGCTTGAATGATAACATGGAAGGGCCAGAAGGTACATCAGGATGAGGAGCATCGGGTCTAACAAAAAATAGTAAAAATATCTTTAAAAAAACAAATCCATCTAATTCTGTATACCAATAATACTTTGTGGCTTTGGAAAAGGAAACCAGAGGAAAAATAGGAATATCATTATGCTATAGATTAATGAGACAATGTTGAAAATATCTCTTTTGAAATCCAAATCCAAATTATGTAATGTTAAATATTTTTTACAAAAAAGTCAATACATTTCCTCTAACACCGAACATCTTAATTTCATGATGAGAATGAACAGATGATCAGTAATTTTATAATTACTGATTAGTGCAGGTACAAGAAGTATATGATTTTGGGAAAGTTTTTGACTGGCTATTCGCACACCCCTGCCCCCTCCTCCCCTCCCCCCCCCCCCAATTATGCAAAAGTATAGAGTACCTAGTACGCACTGACATTTTCAACTTTATTTTATTTTTCATTTTATTTTTATTTTCAACTTTTTTTCAATATTATAAAATGAAGAAATATATGAATATTATTCACACCTCATCTGTCTTGCGTCTTGTCCCCCTATTTGCATTTGTTGTTGTTGTACACCATCGCCAGGGTGATTCCATGCATGATGCATCCCACCACCAGCACTGTTAGCACCTCCACCATAAGGAAAGTTACCCTCTGCATGGAATGGGTCATCCCTAGGTAGGAAATACAAACACTTAGTCAAACATCCATGGACCAAGATTAGTCTCCCTAGTATACTGGTCAACTGGGCTCAAAATAACACAGGGTTCGTACTGAGGTAACCACTTAAAATTCAAGGACTATTCAAGGAGTATACAAGGAACCAAAAATGAATTTTCAGCTAACTATGCCAAGGTTTTACACGGTGGTTGCACATGGCCAACTTTCAGATTTTCCAATCTTTTTGACTAGATCTATTTCAGAACTATGCAAGTAATGATCAAAACAAAAATTCAAGGCATTTTCAAGGAGTTTCACTAAAATCGTAAAATTCAAGAGCTTTTTAAATGCCCTTGAAAACATGAATTAAATTCAAGGAGTTTAAGGAGTAGCATGAACCCTGATAATAGCTGGCCACATTCAAAGTTCAGCCAAAATTGGCACTTGTCTGTCAAACACCTTTAAGGGCAGTCCTCTTAACCACTCACATTGACTGGTCACATCAGTGCAATGTAGCTGGTTATTGGTCTGGCCACTGATCAGCCATTATTTTTTGCCTTGTGAATATTGACAAAGGTCCAGAGCTTTCATTAAAAGGCGGCTACCGGCGATTTATCGCCGGATACTAAAAGAAATACTGCAACAGCACTTTGGATATCTCCACTAATGAACTGAATAAACTTGATGGTGGTCAATCCAAGATAACAACCTTTTGTGGTGTAGCTATGTAGTAAAACTAGTTTTTCCAGTTGTTTTTCTTTGGTCCCAAATGATTTGAATTCAGGGGAAGAAGTTTGGAGATATCAAAATTCATTTTCAGTTGTTTCATTGGRCATGATCACAGAACAATGGGTGCTTTTCCGAGTCTTATCTGGAAGCCATTTTGGGACTCGCAAAGAAATGAAAAAAAAAAAAAACTTTTATTACCAATCTCTTCTCATTCGTTTAGGCATAGGAGGACTCAGTTCATGATGTCTACCAGAGCTATCCCTCCTGCCTCTTTCAAACTCTCTGTAGTCTCCCCTCCGCCTCTGATCCCAAGATCCTTGGTCGCGTCTCCTGTCAGTCCAGTCTTCACGTCTCGACCCTCCGCGATCATCTCTATCGCGCCTTCTGTCGTTGTAATCGCTTCTTTCTCTGCGAAATTTATCTCGAGCTCTCCTTCGGTCGTATTCTTCGTCACTGTCGCCCATTTTATTCGTGGAATTATGCGTAAAACCAGTGTTTTTGTTGCAACAATGAAGCAAGTATTAAGAACRAAATGGCGCACATGGGCGGGATATCCCAGCATGCATCTAGGTCTGATATCATTTGTTACCAGACTATAGACAGGAAGCCCAAACTATCATTGTTTTTGAAAAAGCATATCTTGTGGTATCTTGTGTATTTTTATCCAAGCAATAATGCGAAACATTTTTTAATGTATATTTTATGAATTGCATCTACATTTGATCAAAATTTTGAGACTAAATGTTTCGACTACTTATAGTCTGAGAATAACCAGTTTTTCAAGGCTCTTTTGAATATCAGTTAAAGCTAACCAAAAAATAAGTGCAGCGAATAAATAAACAYGCTAAATTTCCGCTAAATTTATTTTTTTCACCTAGCCAACAGTCTATCCTCTGAAACAGGCTTTGGAATACCTGTGGATTTTGGCCTTTCTTCACGGGAAGTAACGCCTGGTCAGAACTGACTTCATAGCAATGGCGAACACTCCACGTGTAGTTTGCTGGGCAAATAGAGATGAATGGACGGAGATTTACCAGTGTCTATACAGTTTTGACAATGTATATCTTCAAAGAAAAGGCGTAAATCGAATAATGGCCTGGAAAAGTCGTAGCGGAGGGAAGCTGCCTCTATCTATCGAATGTACACTCGATCTCATCTTAGCTCATTTGGCAGACTCACAGGCGTTCACACCAGAAGTACAACTTATTCTTTCAATGGCGCTTGTAAGGTTTGTTAACGGCATGGTAGACTTGAACCAGAAGGGTCTTTATGCTCGTTCTGTTCAAGCTATTGCAGAAGAAATAGGGCTTCCTGATTGGCTGGTTGATTTGAGGCATGAAGCAACCCACGCAAACCTTCCTTCCCAGCATACATTACGTGCTGGGGTACAGGTGGCGTTGTCATGGTTACGAGCAGAGTACTGGGAGGCACAGATCAAGATGCACAAGGATTCTGAGGTCAAGCTTTGTGAGATGATTGACAGTTACCAAGCACTTTTTGCAAAGAAAAAGAAGAAGAAAAAGAATATTGAAAAACAAGAGCAAAAAGYTAAGGTTGTGGCTCAGGAGATAACTGACTTTGTTTTGACCAATAATCTCTGGTGAGTTCGCTGAATTTATCTTAATAYTTTAAAATTTTAACGTGAAAAATATCCAGAACATAATAGACCACCTTCCACCAAAAACCTAATTACCAAGCATTCCCCAACCCTACCCACCCCTCCCCTATTAATACAAAATTCATACTTCTCTTAATTTCCTTTTCTCAGCAATTAAAATTTATTTCCTTTCAAGGTCACACCTTCAAGTGTCACTTCTAAAGAATGGGTTAAGAAATGAAGTCCAAAATGAAGAAACAGAAACACCTTCATCCCAACTCTCAAATGAAGAAATAAAATTCTGGAAACCACTCTTTGAAGCTCTTGATAAAGAATCTCCTGAATTTATACCACTGTTCTTGGTATCTATCTTAGATCCACAGTCTGTAAATATGGAAAAGGAGATCCAAGGCAGAAATTGTTTTAAGTCCTGGGTGTTATGGATTTTGAATTCATGCTCTACCTTTACAACTAAATTTCCATGGCTAACTCTGCTTGAAATATGTCTTAAGAAACCAAATCCTTTCACAAGAGAGTGTGTTACTTTGATCTTAAAAGAAATGCCTTCTATACCAGACACCTTAAAACAAAACACAATTTCATTGATAAACATAAACTTAGTTGAAGATTCTTTTGAGAAAAGTCCTGATGCATCCTATGAATGTAAATCACTTGAACAGATATTGGATGGTAAGGGATTAGAAACCATAAAACAGCCAGTTCAGGGAAATGATCCTCGTTCATCTTCTGGTTGGTCTGTGAGTGGAGAAGAGACCAAATGGAATTTAATTCCATTTGGAGAAGTTCTAGGCTGTGAATACCAGAGTTTAAATCATCTGGAATTGTCAGAGTTTTTCAACAGTCAAAGTCAAATTAATAGTGACAATTCAGCCATCTGTAAAGAAGTTGTTGGAGAAGATACAACAGAGGAAGACACTGAAATGATCAATGGTTATGATGCAAATGAAGTAGATGATAAAATATCATCAGAGAATGATTTCAATTGTAATGATGATTCTGACATAGATGAGGAAGTTGCTAGGGTGTCAGAATCTTATGATAAAGAAGAAGCTGAGCAAGAAATTGTCTTATTTTAGGATTTGTATTTAAAAACATAAAATATCTATTAAAAAAATATATGTAAAAAATAGCAATAAAGATCTTTGTTACCATTGCAAAGGATTTGTAATATTCAAGGGCTGTGGAGCACCCTAAAGAAGGGAGGGGGGCAAAGATTGGAAAATACATTAGACAAGTGTGGAAAAAAATAGGGGGGGAGCTAAGATTGGAAAATGTGAGACTAGTGTGGGAAAAGGGGAGCTGTAGCCCACTCCTCTGGGCTCCTGATATTTGGCATACCACAAGCTACCCTGGGTTCTTGAGTCTTTCTTACTCCATTGCTTCTCAATTCATTATTATTAAAGAATTTTCTCTCGCGATAGAGAAGGACTAAATACAAGAAAGCCGTTGAAACCCAGGGTAACCAAGACCGACCTCTACAGTAGCAACCAAAATAAAACTTGGTATTGGGTTGCCTGTGGTGAAATTATTGTCAAAGGCTTTATGGGGTCCCTGTGTTATTGATTGTCGGACGCCATATTTGATTTTCACAGGAGGAAGAGTTCTTCGAAATTCTTCTGTTTTCCTCAAATCTATTGACTTTTATATTTAATAATGGATACCAGTCAACAGTCTCAAGGCCAAAGTACACGACAGCATGCTATGATTTATATTTGTGGGGGTACGTTATTGATATTTTTGATACCACGTGTCGAAATGATGAATCGTCATTGTCGTGTTGAATATAAACTATTGTGTTTATAACCCTGCTTTAGGCAAAAATAGAAAAAATATTTCTATTGCGGCGTTAAATTAGCAAAAAAGTTTCTATTTCTTACTAAAGATACCCGAATAATGCGGTACATTTGCAGATATATGATAAAAACTAAGTTCAAAGCTTGTTGTTTGTTGCAGAATGTCATACAGAAAACGAGATCAAATCTAGGGACCCTATTCGATGCAGAGAATGCGGCTACAGAATAATGTACAAGAAGAGAACCAAAAGAAGTATCCTTTGCTAAGTTTTAAGCAAAAAGCTGTGAAGATTGTTTTTTCTTGCTTACCTTATCACTCTCCTTATGACCCTTCCTGCTATATGCTTCCGTTCCTACTTCAGCTATAAACCTTGAGCTACTCTCCCCTCCCCCCACCCTAGCTATACATTTTACTCTCCCTACCCTTGCTAATGTCCTTACTTTTTCTCTTCTACCTATCCATACTACTCTCATTAGGTCACCTAACCTTGTTCAGCTCACTCTATCCTCGGTCTATGCTCCCTATCATTAATACTCTCTCCACCCTCACTACTTAGCCACATTGTCTATTGTTAATAGAGGTTTTGCACGATCACATGCTGGTGGTGATGTGACCAATAGATGGCAAAGTAATATAATTTCTTTATTCTTTGGAAGCTAAATCCTTCCAATGTAAGATGCTTTGTTCCTACCATCCAACAGAATATATAGCTACAATACTGTCATGGGATCATGCAAAACGTCTTTGGTCATCATCCACGTATATTTCAATTATGCACAGCTGTCCACATATAAGCGGTAAACGGTCCAATAAGAACCCTGATAAGTTATTTTGCTATCATATAATTTCTTAACCAATATCTCAACAGTGGTTGTATTTGACGCACGATGAGCCTGAGAATTTGTGAAGCAGAGAAACAACCACAGCATTACAGCGTAATGGCCATTATCCATTCATCATTGATACTGTATTATATAATCTTTGTTTAAGAAAAAATCCTAAGAGACTACGAAAGATGGTTTGTCTTTTTTTTATCCCAATTGCAGTAGATGATCAGAGTCAAAACTAAAAGCAGTCTCTCTCAATGCACATGCCTTGATGTCTAGGATACCTGTTGCAAATGTATTTTTATTTATAAAATGAATGTAAAAATAAAGGATGTGTTTGCTTAATAATTATTTTGCTTCATTGTGGGATCCACCTCAGTATGAGTTGGTTAAGTCTGGTCCTCACTAGCAATGGAAGTGTAAGTCAAGTCAAGAAAAACAAAATATTCTGTTCTTTTGCATTTGCATTGCTTCTTTTCATATCATTTGCTACAAAAACTTGAAGCATTTTTATACTTGGCAACAAAAGTTTTTATTGACTACTACATTAAACTGTTAAAGAAGGACTAAGGACTTTATCTTAGTATCAGTTTTAGCAATTTAGTCTAAACTCATGTGTTCATCTTCATCAACCTTTTTGTCAACACCCCCTGGAGGCTTCTCTTCTCCAGAGGTTGGTGGTCTTGAGGCATTTCCTGTGGTGCTTGTACTGTCGGCAGTACCTGATCTGGATGATGCCTGAAGGGCGTTGACAAATTCAACCATGTCTGAAACACAAAAGGAGTGCACTATGTTAATTTCCTCTATTATCCTTTCAGGCGTAATTCCTTATCCTTTCTGACCCTTCCTTATCCTTTCTGACCCATAATGTACAAGTGTTTTCCCCGCCCAATGTCAGCGCTTTTAATAGTGGCTGGTTAGTCACTGGTCGTGATAAATTTTAAAAAAAGAATGTGTAGATGGTGTTGCATTGTTTTATGTCTGAAAAGCTGTATGATAGTATGACTTACCCCCTTTTCCAGCAGCATCAACAACTTCTTGGTTAAACCCAAACTGACTCATCAAAGGTCCAAGTTGACCAGACTGCAAGGCAGAACTGAACATTCCAACAGCCTATAACAGGATTAAACATGTTCAAATATTTGTCACCATTAAATCAAAGGAGTCAGAAAATGCTTGCTATTTTTCAAATCTAAAAAGCATCAGGAAGCACTAAGAGGCATTTAGAATCAGCCAGTCTTGGCTGGACATTGTAAGTTCACCAGTTATTTATTTTAGCCCTGTAACACATCACTTTACAAACCTGTTGGAATTGTGGTGACCAGAGAGTAGAGGACACATCACTGGGTAGCTGAGGTAGTTCTCCCCCAGATGGAAGGAAGGRTGTCAACCTCTCACGGAACTCAGGATTACTAAGCAGTGGGCCAAGAGCCTCTGGTGTCAGAACACGAGACAGATCAATCACTGGAGATAAAACAGGCACAATAACTCCTCAGTCATGAGAAATTACTGTATCTCCTTTATGGTGATATATAATAATTATATTTTATAGAATGTTTCAACTCCAATAGTCAGACTTTTAGGAGCTGCTAAAAAGGGAGATGTTTAGCTGAAACATTTGTGCAATGTACTGAACATGCTTCATTGATGAGTATCCAAGGTACTGTACAATTACTTGTGAAACATATCTTGACACAAGTTTCATTTACAAGACTTGAAAGGAATTCAATTTTTTCATGAAACTTTCTCTTAGAAATATATGTTTGTATGATGGGATAATTCAAAGTACCTTCTCCTCTCTGAGCACTAGATGTCTGTTCATTTTCCACAGGAACTAAAAACAAAAATTAAATAATTAAGATGCTGGGCCATTACTTCAAAACAAAGACATGATGAAGGAAAAAAAAAGGAAAAATGAGAATTTTCTCACTGTATAGTATTACATTTACATACATTTTCACAGATTACGCTTGCAAGAATAATAATCATGTTTGGTCATATGTCAATCTAATATTATGATGTCATCGACTCCAAGCCACTTTTATAACATATGATTGAGAAGTACATTTTCAAATTGATACAAAATCATTTCTGTGACATACCTTGAATATTTGACAATATATTCTGTAAATCACTGAGCTGGACTGCCTGTCTTGCAGGTGGGGTCTGTGGAGGGACCGAGGGGGCAGCAGTTGCAGGACGAGGGGTTGGTGTCTCAGATGGAGTGGTTGATGCTGTATTTCTTGGTCCTGGAGAGGACTGTACCCTGGATGGACTAAATTGAAACAAAGAATAAGATTATCATTTTAAAAGACAGATACCATCCAAGCATTCTTACGATACTCAGCAGTGCTTACAGCGTGACTACCTTGACAGCAAGAACCAATTAAATCGTAGAACGAAAACAATACATTCCAACTTTGGGTAGGATGCCAATCAGAAACCAGCAGAAAACAATCCAAATACATCTTTTTATTCCCACAAGAAAATGTTGATGGCTATCTATTTAAACATAACATCAGCCAAGTAAATAACCATTCTCATGCAGTCTAGGTTTCTGATTGACGTGACTACCCAAAAATGGAATGCATTGTTTTCATTCTAGATTCTAATTGGTTAAAAGTTGCCCCGGCTACAGTAGTTGCACTGTAAGATAATGACTGGTCATTGGAAAATATCTAGCCAGAATTGAGACTTGTCAAATGTTTGCCTTGCAGGTCACTTGATTGACAGTTAGCAACTTACGTGGGTGAAGCTGCAGCAGGTGGAGTAGCACTTGCCCCAGTCAGGCCACTCATTCCACCAAGACCACTCCACAGCTGTAATAGCTGCTGTTGGTCCATGTTTCCTAGTAGGCCTTGCAACTGACTATCACCTGCAAAACAACAAGCACATCTTAGAACATCAGATACTGATACTTGCTGAAATAAGACCCTAATAGTTTGGCAGTAGCATTTTCCTATTTCAGACCACATTTTATTCTCTAAAGTTAAAAAATATACAACAGTTTTCCATTTCAGATAATCTGACCTAAACAGACAAGATGTTGAGAGAGCATGAGAAGAAGAAGAGTAGGAAACTAAGACTCGCTCGCACAAAAAAAACACATGAATATGGGTACACCTCAAACAAAGAATCTGGATGAATTAGAAAAAAAATTATGCCCAAACTAGATGAGGTCTGTTATTAATCATCTTCCCTGATTGATGTCTAAAATGTAACTAACCTAAATGTTCTTCAAGTGCTGACGCAAGTCCACTAGGCATACCAGTTCCCCCAGCACTACTTCCAGATCCCGGTGTTGGTGGGTTGTTAAGAAGGCTGTTAACCTTATTGCAGAACTCCTCATCTTTATCTGTCTTGGGCTCTTGCATCCAGAAAAAGAACTTTCTGGAAGAGGACTTAAACTTGAGGATATAGACCCTTCCAGTGTTGCACTGCTTGACACGTTTGTATTCAATGTCGTCAGGGAAAATGATCAAATCCTATTCAATGAAAAATAGTAAGCTGGGTTAGAATATTTCAATTTGGATATTGGATGATGAAAGAAGAAAATTGCTAAGTATCAAATCCAGTGGAAGGACTGGGAAGAACAGAAAACTGAAAACATTTTTGATGTACTGTATGTAGTCATATAATACAACTGAGCTCCACAAATGCAGCACAATTTTGATGGAATGAACAAAAAATCACTAGGAAACTTAACAAATTTACGATGGTTGAGCGTGGTATGTCCTCTTATTTGCCACGATATGACGTCAAAAGTTGGTCAAAATGTTATGGACTCACGAGGCGTAAGCCGTAAGTAAATTTGTTTTTTACTACAAAACTCAAAAAACTCTAGGAAATAGACTGCACGAAATCTTGCATGACGCCATTTGTTGGTATGGCCTCTTATTTACGACGTTTTTTAACCAATCAGCGCGCGAGAAAATTTACAATTGTGGTAAAAAGAGAGGTTTATGGCATCATTCACAGGATTGTCTGGTTGGACCCCAAATTTTTGCCTTCCTGGTCCATTTTGACCAGTAACATTTAGCCAGAAATGAGGTACTGTATGACTAAGCTAAAACTAATTTGGCTGGCCATCATGACCAGTGACTGACTGACTGTTATTTCAAGTCCTGTCCACATTACAAAAATATGGAATTCTTGGTTTGCAGTTAATCACAAGGGAGTAAAATAACAAAAGGCATGGCCGCCATGTTGGTTCATTAATAAAGGCTTTTGCCAAATTCTTCCAACATTTCAATGCTACCCATAACATTTCTTTACTGAAAAGTCAAATAATTAAAAGATAAATGTATAATGATTGCTAGTAACCTGTTAAAGACATCCAATAGATGTTGTTTAAAGGCAAAAATTGAAACGAAAATCTGAAATTTTTTTTTGTAATATTTTACGAAAAATTCTTCGTTTCGGCTCTGAAAATTTTTCTTTGTTGAAAGAATTAGCCGTTGAAAGGCCAAAACAAATTCTTGGTCGAATATAAGGTTTAATGTCTATCAATAAACGTATAAAACAAAATAAAATATGTCTAAATAAAAAAATATTAACGGTATTAAATTTTTACGATATTTTTTCGCATTGTCATGGTTTGGGAAGGGACTCACGTCTTCGACTTTTGAAGTGTTTCTATCCTTCCAGCAGAAGTGCATGAGGGAGTCTTCACTCTGGTGAATATACACTAGGCCTTTCCTTTTGTCGGCAGTAACTGTTGAGCCATTCAAGCTCATTTTTCCTGCTCGGAATTCAAGTAAATTCTTGGAGGCTGAGCGCCCGGCGGCATGACCGAACAGGGAAGTTGCCATCTTTGAACGATCTAGTGTCGGAGCGAAATGCATTGTGGGACCCTGGTATCGAGGGAGGGGTGGCTGGGGGAAATTGGTCGGATTTCAACACAGGGACCCCAGTTAAAATTCAACCTTACATTAAGGTGGCTAGTAGTTCATTTCTAAGAAAATTTTTGATCCTAAATCGGCAAATAATAACCAAGACCAAATTCAAAACCGATGTGAGGCTTAAGTTGTGAACAAAGGAATCTGGCGTGATTCGTGACTTTTGAATCACGCAGGATTACTTTGAGTCACGCCAGATCTAGTCTCCCTCACATCCATTTTTAGTGTCAGTCCACACTAAGAATGGATGCAAGGGAGACTATGCCAGATCCCTTTGTTCACAACTTAAGCCTCACATCAGTGCGAGTTTTGAATTTGGTCTATATGGAATTTACATCTAAGCAATGAATATCTAGAAGGTACAGTACAATCAGATCACTTACTGTATCTCCTCTACGAAGCTCCCAACCTTTAAAGTGATTATAAGCCTTTACACAATATTTTCAGAATTGATTCTTTAAATAGTGAATAGTTGATTGTGAAAATAATTCATATAATAATTTGAATGTCTGTTCTTAGAGATATGAAGGCTTATATTTCCAATATGTTAATAGCTAAAATGAACTAAAAATGTTGAAATATTAGGAGAATTCAAAATTCTTAATTTAAAGTTTAATTTGTTTTGATGGTCTAATACGAAGAGTTTTAACAAGTGGAACTAGCCCTACTCAGTATTAAATCAAGTATATTACAGTTTTATCTTTCCAGTATCACACACTAATAATTATGAATTTCTTTCTCACRGTTTAAATTAAATCACTTTAAAATAACTTTACTAAAAGAATGCTAATCATATCAACAGATAAATTACTACCATTACTATTGAAGTGAGCCTGCAAAGTCTGATGTCTTGTTCGCCGGCTAGCATTTCGATGGCTGTCAATCTAAGAACTGTAATACAAGAGGCAATATCTTGAGGGAGAAAGAGACTGAATTTAAAGATGTTAAACATCCAATCCTCTAAGATCTTTAAGTCAGTCCAAAATCTCTTTCAAGATTTGATTGACAGTTGTTGAAATGCTAGTCGGAGAATGAGATATCAAACTTTGTGAGTTGCACTCTAATGATTATGTTCGTACAATGCAGTAAAATGGAATATAAAATTATGCAACCTGTTGCAGCACATAGTTGACAGTGTTGCTTGGATTACCACCATACCTGCAACATGTTTTCTTTGTTGCATGAAGTAGAAGTTCTGCTAGATACTTTTTTCAGAACTCATGCAGGTGGGTAATACAAGCAACATAGCTCTGTCACTTGAAATGCAACAGTGGTAGGACATCCATGCTCAAAAATAAAATATTTTTTTAAACAAAGTATTTGAGGAAGGAAGGTTGTTTTACCATCCTCATATCAATTACACTACAACTACATAACAATAAAATGCATTTAAGACCTATGTTAGTGTTATATTATTAGAGTTGAAGGCATTTAACCTGTGAAATAAAAAWTAYTAGTCAACGTGYAATAGTCAAATAGACACAAAAGAAAACAATGGAATTAGKGTCTACTAAAGTGTGTTAGTCTAATGTCTATTTCACAGGTTTTATGACTTCACTCTAACTGGATCTGGCTGGCATATATCTATTTCACATACTTAAAGCATGATTCCATTGCTCTCTGAATAGGGTGACACAGGGAGTCCACATCACATTTCATGCACTGGTATTTTTTAAATTAACTGTATTACATATTATTGAGCTACATATAAAAATATGAACAGTAAACCAGGAATTCAAGAATCATGTTCTACATTTTGGTATTTTCATGTATCCTGCCGCATCATGCGTAAACCCTGTGCCACCCTTAGTGAATGTAATAATATAGTGATTGGGTTAAGGGTTAGCAAGTACAGTATAATTAATACTATTTTGGTTTTAAGTGTGACACAGTAATTTGAAAAGCAACAATCCTAATGCATTTTTAAGGGCCCTTTCATTTATTAGCACAAGCAGGAGGGGGGTCAGCAAAATTGTAGGGGGGTTACGTCATTTTGAGAAAGTGGTAAATGGGGGTTATTACATATTGAGGGGGGTTGAGAGATACTGCAGGATGATGAGGGGGGGTTATGAAGTTGTTGCTCCTACCATTCAGAGGGGTTTGTAAAGCTTTCCATATGATTTTGCCAACCCCTCCCTCCCGCATGCGTTAAATGAAAGCCCCTAAGTGTGACCATCAACCATGCATCCAAGGTCAATAAGGTAAGACTAGCCATGGCCCAACATTATTGCGTCTTTTTGGTTTCCTTTCTAGTCACAACCTTTTCTTCAGCCACTTCTTCATCACTTTCTCCTTCACCATCGTCATCAGTCACCTTCTTCTTTGGCTGGTCCTTTTTGGCCTTCTTGCGCGGTTCCTTCTTCTTGGGTGATGTGGCTGCACTATGTTCACGCCAAAGCCTGATCTGGTAAGTGATGAAGTTCCAAGCCAGCCAAGATTGCATGAGCACCATAGCAGCCATAGCTGTTGCCCTAGAAGAGTAAAAATAATAGGGATTTTCAATATGGATTTGAATACAAATACAAAAATGGTAACAGATGAATATGATCATATTTTGCAAATGCTATCAAAGTAGCAATCCTGTTCCTGCAAAGTTACCTGATAAAAGGGCTATTGAAATTTCCAGTATCCACATTGAGGGCAGCATTTTCAAGGCGAGGAAGGCCATACCTTAGAAAATCAGTGATTCAATTATCAGATAATTGTACAATTAATTTGTGTCTCATGACAATAGAGATAATGATAATCATCACAATGATTCTTAACCTCTACCTCTATTATGTATTATCTCATTGTTATTCTCTTTCTTCTAGTCCTCATTCTTCTCATCATTATCATGGTCGTCTTCACTGTCATCATCATCACTGTCATCCTCATCAATCATCACTATCAACCTCGTCAATCATCATTGTTATCGTTATCAGTCATCACTATTACCCTCATCAATAATCATTATCATCACTGTTATAATTGTCAGTCACAATCTGACATCACTTTCTTCATCCTTATCAGTCATCACCATCATCACTGTCATCCTTATCAGTCATCTTCATCAGTCATCATCATCAGTTATCATCATTATCATCATCCCTGTTATCATCATTCCTGTTATCATCATCACTATCATCATCATCTTCACTGTCATCACCATAATCCATACTGACACTTACCAGAAAGTCATGACAGTCAGAGCTATGATAGCAAAACGAGCTAGCACGAACAATCCAGACCAGACCAAGAAACTGCAGAAAATAAGAAACGCAACTGTTATAGGCAGTCCTGTCCATTAATCCAATATCTAAACCAATATAAACTTGTAAATTTTAAGTTTAATTTTGATTCTTTAAGAGAACCACACTTGAGTATTGTTCAAATGTTGCTAGATTGATCAATTGGTATATTGCATGAGCATCGTACCCTTACTGTATGACAAGGGTTCTCCGTAATCTCACTTGAATTACACCTCAAAAACCAACCAATCCAAGGAAATATTCTCACGCCCCAAAAATATTTTGTATTTAATGAAAAAAAAAACACCCAAAAATCAACCCAATCCCTTAAAGCTATTTTCTCATTCAAAATTATTTTCTATAGGCCTTTTAAGCTTGGGAGTAATGCTTCCCCATTCAGTCAGACCACATGTCATTCCCTAGAGTATCATTTCTTTGTTTAACGGTTGCACATGATAAGAAACATTAATTTGGATCCAACTCAAAGAAAGAGTTTTATTCTTAAGAGAATGACACATGGTCTGAAATGGGAAAACATTGCGTCCAATGTAAAAAGGTCTATTAAATGGGCAATGGGAAATCATATTATCACTCCTCTAGGATTTATTTCCATCAACGTACACATTCTTAGCTATTTCATTCTTTCCACTGATTTGCAGCAGTCTCATGGCATGGTAGACAGACTCCACCATGTAGTGGATTGTCAGGCAGCACAATGCAAGATGGGTGAAACTGAAAAGAGAAGAAAAACAAATTTGGAGGAAAGTGGAAGGGAAAGATATATGGTGTAAATATTACCATTTGCAAGCAACTGTGAAGTGTAGCATGGCAAACTTGTTTTTATAAGTTTATATCTAGATGCTTGCATCGTAAAACTTGCAGGTTTCCCATGTGAAACTTTATAGATAGGTGTGAATGCCACTATGTATGGGGTTTCACAGGTAAAACTAGCATGTTTTGTGTTTCAAAAGTCTGAAATACAGTATAAGTAATTAATAAAAACAAGTTTGCCACATCATGCTTTCTGTTGCATGGTTGCTTGAATATGGCTGTAGAATAATACCTGAAGGAAAAGGGGAGCAACAGTAATGCAGGGATATAACAGCCCATAATAATTCCTCTAGAAATATAGTTTATTAAAAAATCATACATTCCACATGTTTTGACATTTCATAATCTTAAATTTGTAAAAATATATTCATTTTCTGGGGCAAGTTTATTTTAATGAGAATGAGAATCAGAAACCAAATCTAATATTTGTCAAAATTAAAACCTTAAATTGATTTTCATTATTTCTGTTCACAATGAAATATTTAGTCTTGTTTTTAATTTTCAGAAATTGTATGTTAACTACCATTATGAGTGCGGCCTCCGAAGTTTGGTGTCTCATTTCCCCAACTAGTATTTCTACCACCTTTATTTAATCAAAGAACTGCAACAAAAAAACAATATCTTGAGGACCTTGAGGGAGATTAATTAGACTGAACCTGAAAGATTTTAATCAACTAGAATCCTCTAGGATCTTTAATTCACTCTAAGATCCCCCTCAAGATATTGTTTTTTTAAAAATTTAGTTCTTTGATTGACGATCACTGAGATGCTACTCAGTGAATGTGACATCAAAATAAGAGCAAATATTCTAAATTAATTCTGAGTAGTAAAAAAATTGGTAAATCAAGCAGGTGAATTCACTACTCCCTAGGTAAAGGAAATATTGAGCTAGACATATAAAAAATTTTGCATTTCTTATCCTCGTTCATCATAAAATCTCACCTGGTGCGATTTGGGCAGGTGCTTTTTCTTAGTGAAATCATTGGTTTTAGAATGTGGTAATGGTATAACACTACATGTGATGACCAACAGTGTTATATAACAAATGTTTTCCAAATTCATACAGGATATTTGRATGGCAATAGGAGAGCATATTGTGCTGATTTATGTGAACAACCTGATTGGCCTAAGGATTCTATTATTTTTATAGTTTGAAAAATTGAATAGAGAGTTATGTAATATTTTTCTCATAATTTTTGATTTCATATTCATTTAAAGGCTTAAAAATTTTWAAAAATGGCCCTTTATATATTGGGCTCTTCTAAAATGGAACGCATTTTCAAATTTTCACATAAATATAGGCATTTAAATTATATATTTTTACGTAAAGATCATAGGATAGGGAAATTAGGATTGTTTTGAACTTTTTTCGTTTGCCACTTCTCAGACACATTTTTTATTTGATAAAAAATCATCATATTGGAACATAATTATGCTTTATAGATGCTTGTAACATGAAACTTTGGTCCAGTTGTGTGAAGGATGGATAGAGCTATCAACGGACAAACATGGGTCAATGTTGATATCCAATAGATTTATAATAATAATAATAATATTTATTTATAAAGCGCAAATACAAATCTGTTCTACCACTGGTCAGGATAAGATTTTTCTGTCGGATACTGCTATCACCCCTTGCACAACCAGGCGTTTATGAGTTTATTTAGGATAAAAATTGGGGGGTTGAAAATTGAAATTTAGTGGATATTTTTATATTTATTTATTTATTAGTTCCGCCATATATCAAACTGGAAATATAATAACTGAAAAATACTGTGATATATATGACAGGGTGACCGCAACAGTGTTAAGCCAATTACTGCGGGCCCCTCGCCTGCCCATTAGCCCCTCCCTGGACACAGGTGTAATAAAAACAATCTCCCCGAACAAAGTCTACTCTATGTTTATGTTCACAACATAACAGTTACAATAGTAACAATTATCACATCCATTAGTGTATCACTTCCATTATGAGGAATACTTACTTGAGCATATATGCAGCCCAGATGAAGAGTAGGTATTCAATGTACAATTGGATCTTGGCTGAGATCTCATCCTTCAACAACAATGATGAAATGAACTTCAACTACTACTCCAATATTTCTATTAGTCTTCATATTTCAGAACATATGTCATTCTCTTGTGAATGAGATTCTTCATTTTTTAACTTTTGAGTAACCAATATTAAAGTATCTACCCTAGATAGAATTACTCGTTAATTGAGCTTTGCATGATCAGCTGCTAGCTAGCACGTTAGAGGGCAGAACAATAGTATCTCTTTGCTCTGGGGAATTGAATCTTTTGTCGGTTAAACAAATTTTGTTCTTGCCATTTAACATGGCCAGGGCTGGGATCTAATGTAATCATGCAAAACCTTAAATAAAGAATCCATGATATACCCAAGAAATGACACATGGTCAGAAATGGGGAAATGATAGTTCTTGTCGTACGATCAACTTTACATGAATTGATTTCAAATAAAACTGATTCTAAGCTACTTCTGCAATAATTATCTAGTACAATTATTACATTAATCAATTACATAAGGTATATTCTAATGCAGAGTATAGTGTAATGACCACTCCTTTACAAACCTTTTTGGCCTTCATGAAGTACAATTCTGGAAAGCAGTGCACCCAGTGAGCAATTTGAAGGATGAAGTAAAATTTTAACATAAACCTAATAATAGAAGAAAACAGTCTAAATACCAAAAATGAAACAGTGCAGATACTATATATGATTAAGCCACTATAAATTCTATACACCTATGTCAATACACTGTGATATAAACATGCTTGGAACTGTAGAGCATGAAAAGCATGCATTGGGTGATACAATCAAAGCATTTCTCTATCTTTTCTCTTGCTTTATTTTCAGCTTCAACACTGTTCACTGCACAGCTTAAAGACTAGAGCAGTTTTCTTATGACTGTGAAAAGCTCACGGTACGAATATGGCCGTGACACGGCAGGGGAATCACCCGACCTAACATATTGCTCRAGAGTTTACTTTTTATCCAATCAAATACCCAGAACACGGCATAAACATGGCGCAGACATGGTCACGCCAAGGTCACGGCACTGTCAGACCAATCACATTACGCGGAAAAAAAGTCAGCCAATTAAAGTACTAGAAAACATCACGGTCACAGCACGGCATGTTACAGCACTGAGCTTTTCACAGTCATGCGAAAACTGCTCTAATATAAATAGGGTTTTGTTGAGTTTGTCATTCTTCTCTATCAAAAAGACAGAAGAATGTGGACTTTTAAAAACTTATTTGATAAATTATTGGATTAATATTGATGCTAGTTATATATGCATTTTGTAATTCAATTATGTATACTTACGACATTTCATTGTGGGGATATCCCTCCCACAACTTTGTAATGGTGGGGAAGAATTTCTCCTGGAAAAACAATATAAAAGTACCAATAAATCAATAAAAATGTATTTAGCACTAGACAACCTTTATTTCATATATTTAATATCTGGGAATCTGTTAAGTTTGACCACAATGGTTGCTATGGCAACCAACCACAATGGTTGCTACAATGGTTGCTATGGCAACCAACAACAATGGTTGATATGGCAACCAACAACATAATCAGCCTTGAATATCGGCAAGGAACAGAGGTGAAAATATTTGCTGATCATCAGATAATGTCTGCATTGCCTAAACTATAGCCTATGGATGATATTATATAATGTGGATCGTTCATATTACAATCAATCAAGAGAAAAGACACAAGTTTTTGGATGAACAGGAGTATACCTTAATTATAATGTCTGCTCCCCAAGCTGCAGATGCAAAGTAAAATGGAAGTAGTTCCCCAGAATCATTGAACTTAGAATTCTTGGTCTTGGAAAGATGGAGTTTACGAATTACTTTCTGAAATAAAATAATTGAAATCTGTGTTAGTAAGAGTTTTAGGGTTTCATATTTGAATAGTCCTAAAAATTGTTACTTCAACCTGTATTTTTACCTAGTTTCAACCTACAGTGTCTTCTTAGTGGTGCAATGAGTTGAGATAGAAGAGAATTCTTGTCAATGAAATAATAAATGAAATAATAATACAATTTCTTAAAAAAATATTTTCCTTTCTGTCTTTACTGAATAAGGCAAAAAGACAATGAAAAAATGATTGAATGGAGGGGTGGATAAATGAACAGATGGGATTTGTAGGCCACAAGGAGAATGGATAAATAAATGAATGAATGAGCACATTGAATAGATAAAAAGGATGGATGGGTGAGATGCATGGATAAATGGATGGAYAGATAGATAATCAACTAAACTCACATCCAGTATATATTCTTGTATGATAGCATGAACTACAATCCATGCTAGACTGTAAAAGAAAATAGTACAGAAATCTTTGGGGCCATTGCTGTAGGTTGTAACGACCTCATCAGTTCCTGCAAAAAAGATAAAGTAAAAAAGATAATCAAAAAATAAAACCAAAATTATGAACTTTATTTCAGAATAAGGATAATTTGTCAAAATGATATTTGAAAAAAATGTAGCCTAATTATTGACACAAATGCAAGATTATTGCTCCAGTTCTTGAACAAACATAAAAAATTCAGCCCTGCAGCTGGTGTGAAACAGGGTGGGCCATTTATAAAATATCAATCAAAATTACCCCACAAAAAAAATATACCTTTTATCAAGAAAAATATCAAATTATTAAGTTTTTCGATTATTTATACTAAAGTAAAGGCGAACAAATATACAAACTTTTTCACGAAAAACAACGGTAAAGGAAGAGTATTGTCTGGAAACCATTTCAGCCAATCCTGGTTCAACACGATAATTTACTGTCTCGCAGAGCAACAAATACCCCCCAAAAAAAACTATTTCAGAGGACGAAAAATAAACCATTACTAACAAAGCCTAAATTATACAACAGCAGAAACTTTTCTAAAAAAAAAAGCCAAGAAAATTTGAAAAATTTAGAGCAATTGTATTAATAATGTTTGAATTTAATTGAAAATGGGTTTTCGCAAAGATTCATCACGTGTACAAATAGTGAGTTGAAAAGAGAGAGTAAAAGCGACTAAAAAAAATAGATATTTCGTAAAAGAGCAAAAAGAAACTATTTACCATTGATTTCTCTGGTAATATTGTGTTGAGGAGCAATAAATACAGCGGCTATTTTTGTAGTTACCTGGAGAAAACCAAAAAGAAACGAAAATATGTCTGGTGAAAATATCCCAAATTAACCACCCTTTGCTTCGGAAAACCCCTCGAAATTCTTACCTGAAACATCAAGCCTATCATAAAAACCATACAAATACACGAGACTATGTCTCCGTGGTTGGTTATAATAAACTCATGACTAAAAATAGGGGCATTTTTGCCCGATTTTCGTCGACCCGGCATCTTGATCTTCCTTTGTAAAGTAAAGGGACTCAAATAAAAGAATATGGACCAGGCTCTGCTCGGTAGTATCAGTCCGTTTGGGGCTTGGAATATTGGCTGAGCAGCCAGGTCTAGAATGCAGCCAAGAAAGAAGCTAACAGCATGGACTTGGATTCTTCCTTAAACGAAGAGTTAAAGTCTTTCGTAAATGAAGAATTTAGAAATTACATCCCTGTCCCATCGTTGGCTGAATCTTCTGAATTCGGTATTCTTTATTTTTGCACTCCGGTTGCTGATGATCAGTCGACAAATCAGTCTTGGTTTAGGACATTGTCGTGGCCTAGTTTGAGACAGGCTCATGACTCAGATTCACGAAGTTCATCAAACTTGATCAGCCTAGGTTGGCTTTTTGACCATTGTCCAGACAACTTTGGCGAAGTGAAAACGAGAGAAGAGGAAGTCTGTATTCAAGGCCTGGCATCTGCTTYCCAGAAGAATAGAGGTATTACGTTAGAAGTGCCAGCAGTTGTTGGATGTGGTGGTTCAGCTTCATGCGAAAATAACAGAGTTCTAGATTTGGGAAAAATAGTTAAGTTTTCTGTTCCATATAAGCAAATAAGTTATTGGCTAAAGAGAGTCACGCCTCAAGATTCACCAGAACTGTTCAGAGAGGCTAAAAGATCTCATCTGTATATTATATACGAAGTATTAACAGCTGAACACCTTAAGAATAAAGCAGTAGAGAATTCCAACATCGAAGGCTCTGTGAGTGCAACGGTACCAAATGGTGGTGTAAGTGGATTTGGAACTTGGAAGAGGAATAAAGATTGTCGTCTTTCACGTCCAAAGTCAATGGGGAGATACCCCTTTGCATACAAATGTGGCCGGGTTAAAGTCAAGAAAAATAAAAGTCATTTGAAATTGGTTGGGCTCAAGGAGTTTTATGAACCATTTAAGGTCATAGATCAAAATAAGCYACCTACTTATCAAAGCCGTAAGTATCGAAAGTGTTACTAGTAAAATCATGATTTCCAATGGTTGGGGTCATGATGTATAAACGTAGCAACTGGAAAAAGTTGTGACAATGCRGACAATGCAGACCTCAAACATACAAAGCTTAACAACCAGACTTGGTGGTGTCCCCAATTTAAAGTGCACCTAACCCTTGATACAATACTTGCAGTATTGATTTTACATAAAGTAAATAGTTGAATGGTGAAATATTTATTCATTTGAATGTTACGTTATTAAGGTTTATACTTCTAATATGTTACTGACTGTGATGTCACCCCAGGATTCATTAAATATACGAATTTTGACTGGTTCATACAAACAGTTTTTAAAAAGAATCATTATTATACTCAAGGTTCTCACAATGYTTATTGTAAATCTGATGTCTCATAATGGCTAGTTTTTAGTATTARAAATTAAAACAATACACTCAAAAGCCTGGGGTRACGTCATAGTCAGCAATGTAATGGAAGTATAAACCTTCATAACTTAAAGAYGCAACATTCAAATGAAAAAATAYTTCACCATTTAACAATTTACTTTATGTAAAATCAATACTGAAAGTATTGTATCTGGGGTWAGGTGCACTTTAAGGACCTCCATTAGAGCAGGTTTGGTGCAGTATACATACCTTGGCACAACAGTGATGTTTTCTAGAATTTTGATTTGCAAATTTTTTTCTTGCCCAATGTGATTGGTCTGGCAAAGCTGTTMGCTTGGTGTAACAGTTTCTGCACCATGTTTATGCTGTGTAGCAGATATAGAGGCTTTGCACCATCACATGGTGGCAGCTATGACATGAGACACAACCATACTATTTCTCCCCTGGTAGACTGAATTCTTTCTTATGTAAATCYGATTAGACCAGATTCAATTGCCCCTGCCYCCTGTCATGGCTGCCATCACATAATGGTGCAAAGCCTCTACTTGAGCAAATTCTCCTGTGATTGGTCTGACATATGCCTTGCTGTCTTAAAAGCTTTGCAAAGTGATACAAAAACTGCTCTATAATATAAGTTGGTTTAGTCTTGGAGGCTTGGCCAATTGAATAAGGTCTAAATAATATATCCCTAAGCATGCAAAACTATTCTAAATAGTATTGTCAATTTCTTACCCTTTGTAAACTTACCAGTCTACTTCTTACACTTTATAGCAAGTTCTTCACAAGAGGATGAGATGTCAAGAGATGAGTTCATCGTTATGAAGACTGAAGATAAGAATTAGTTTTAAGGAGATTGCAGTGCATTGTGAATGATGTAGAAAGTTTTTGACAAGCTAATGTATAATCTGTGACAACTGGCTAATGAGGCACTATCAAAGAGATGTCACAAACAAATAATAATTAATAATATTTAGGCAGTTTTTATATAAGAAATAGTATTGTAATTAGCTAGTGGTGTATATAGTTTTAATTATAATAAAATAGTTTTAAAAAAGTTTAGTTGAATGAATGGATCAGCAATAAGAATAATAAATTTTTGTAGTCAATGCAAAAAGTAAAATTTGAATGATATTTTCAATTTTCGAAGATCAGTAGTCCTAAAAGGACTCTGGTATTTTATAATTTATTTTAGAAATATTTAGTTTTACAGCACTTTTCATAATTCTGCAACCTACTGACTCAAGATGTCCAACATTTTGGCTTCTGTCAATCAAACTTACAATGGACCAAGCTCATTCCCATCTGCAAGAGCGATAATAAAATTCCYGCTCAACCAATCAGAGCCAAACATTCCCACCCCTTAAAATGGACACTAATCGTATAAGGTACAATCAAAACATTAAAATGTTCAAGGAAATGTCTTTTAATAAATATGGTTTTTTTTTTCATGCTTGATCTTCAGAATTTCATTAGACTTTCTCAAAGTCCTTTAATGAAAAAAATTTTCATCGGTTTGGTTTGCAGTTTTAAAGGACTTTTTATACCTTTTTCGTACCAATTTTACCACGGCAGCCTAAGCAATGTATTTGTGGTGTGTATGATAGCATTTACAGTTATGTTGTTTGGACGAAAAAATATGTAATTTCAAAAAAATATATATATTTGAACATACCTTGCTCCTGTGTTGGTATTTAACGTCATTCTGAGTGATTTTTAGCTGTTTTAGAGCATTTTTTGAAAAATGAAATTTTTATTTACTGGTGGGCTACTTGACCCGATTAACGCCAAAATTTGGGATTTTGTATAGGTCAATGTGCAAGTTTTTTTGTGCATATATACCAGCTGTCCATTTTAATTGATTCAGCGATGGTTAAATTACGTTCACCGTATCGACCAATCAGCATCGAGAAGACTCGTGCCAATTGTTACATATGGCGATGGAAGGTTCCTAATGTTTACAGTTTTACAGCCGTAAGATCATTGGGAATCGCCATTCCCTTTAGGGCAAGATGCCGGAGAAAGAAGCCACATTACCTCTAGAGTTATGGAGAGTTGTTCTTTCGTACTTATCGGTGGCRGATCTTTGCCGATGTTCGCAAGTTTGCAAAGAATGGAGAGAGCTGGTCAAAAGTCTTGATAGTACAAGATGGAAGACACTGTTTCTCGCGGCAAAAAAGTGGAGACATCCAAATTGGCCAAATACAACTGAAAAAGATCCCTCTTCTTGGAAAAACACTTATAAAGCTCACCATATTGCATCACAACAATGGATCAATCGAAGCATTGACGTAAGATGTTCTCCATTTTTTATCGCTTTGCGAAGAAAGCCCGAAAAGGTTATTCTACATGTTGGCCCCGGGAAGAAGTACTTGAGTATTCGCGATGCAATGAGCGCTGCTTCGCCTTTCGATCGAATCGTCCTACAYCCAGGGATTTACGACGAACAGCACTTTTTAGTCTTAAAATTTCCAATAGAGATTTACGGGGAAGGAGAGATCGGAGATGTAGTAATTCAGATGACTATTGAACAGCAATGTTCGACGGCGCGTTTRGTTAATGTYGTAGTTCAACCTGGAACAGGAATGTTGGTTCAAAATTCTCCAGTTATATTGAAGGTAGGGCWGTTATTCTTTACCATTTATCGTATRAGATTGCTAATTTTGTATGGTCGTACCCTAATCCCCTTATAGAACACTAAATGTAAAGATCTTCAAGATTATTCGTATTTTTTTACCGGTCATCACGTTAGGTATTTTTTGAATTTAGACTTACAGTACTGCAATTTCACAATTAAGACAAGTTGTAATTTCTTTTTATTTCTATGAAAATAGCCCTGAAAAACATTTTAAACCAATATTCTGATAAAGTTAAAAACTTTATGACAAAGATATGTAAAAATATATGTACATCATAGAAGATAAACTGTCTCAAAAATTAATTGTATTACCGGTTTCAAAAGGGTATTCTTCAGTCACGACACAAGTTTTAGTAGATGGCAACACTGTTCTTTTCGATTGGCTACACAAGGTTGACAAAAAAAATGAACGAAAAATTCTTTAGCATAAAAACCTTTTAAAATTTATTTCAAAAAAAGTTCCTAAAGCTTCAAATTATCACTCTTCATTTGCATTCACAGTCTTTCCTTTTTTCGCAGCTTAGTAACTACTCGTAGAGYTGGACATTCATTGATTGTTTGCTGTCGACATTTCATATCTGTCATTCCTRACAGTTTCGTGAATGGTATTTCAAAATTAGTCTATGCTTTCCAATGAATTTTAACATAACAAAACAAAACACTTGTGCCAGAAATTCCTCCTAACAAATTGACGTACTAAATCCGATAAATATACTTCACAACRAGTTAGTTGGGACGATATAAGAACTATATCCAGAACTAAATCTGAAAAGATTTTAAATTAATTWTATGTAAAAAATGTCTGCTATTATAAGTTCGTTAGCGGCAAAAATAAGCTAGCTATATCAATATGACATAATTCCAAGTTCCCTTAAAAAACAATACTGATTAAAGCGATTCAAGTTCATTACTACAGAAAAAAGGGAAAATCCACTGCAAATCCATAGCTAAAAGATCATYCTCGATTCTACATAAAAGAAAACAAATCGCTATATTCAAGAGAATAATAATTTGTTTGTCATTTATTTATTTATAACTCATATAATTTATTTTCCTTGACAGTGAATACTTTTTTGTGTAAATACAAGTCTGMTTAAAAATGAGTCTATATTAAGTTCCTTTCGTTTTTGATTGAATTGGAATCCATGAAAGTGTATAAGTGCCCTGACAGACTCATGAAATAACCGACTCAYGTCAAGAATAAGATAATGAAAACGTCAAAAGTAAATGCATTTTCAAATGCGTTAAATTCTGAGGTATCTAGAAAAGATCGTAGATGGAATTGAAGTACTGAGCGTTACAACCGATGGATGTAACCTGTATTCTAACTTTTACCAAGTGTGCAAGTACATGATCGACATATCTTGCTCAAGATAAGCTATCTTTCATGTCAGGTCGAGTCAATAGGCGACCTTTCATGGCCATGTATTTTTGGCTTTTTATCTGAACCTCAGCACTGGGCGATAACTTATATTCCATTCCCATCCATTCGATATTTCTTTTCCAATTCGTTTCATCATTTTGTTTCGTTTATTATTCTTTCCTTCGCTTTTCCTTTTACAGCCGGTGTAAATTAGTTTTACCGTTATGCGKTTATCATCTTGAAGATTTTATTGAACTAACATATAATTCATTTTAATGTACACGCCAGGAACACATTGTTTGAAGATGAATAACGTCCAAAATCTCTAAAACACAGATCTATAAGTACTCGTCGATTGGCTGAGCAAACACGGTCGTTTTTTACACACTTTAAACAATCTTTTAAAAACAACGTTACATAACTGAATCGAAAAGTGGAACAAAAACACCGAAAAGACGTAACAAACAGAATACTACAGAATACGAAAACACGGCTCAATAAAACCAAGCGATACTGAGTGAGCCKGTAGTCTGATACTAAAGGCGCCAAGCAAGTAAACATAATTTCTTTTCCATTTCCGTGATCATGCAGCGTCCATCTCAAAGAGGGTGTTTCAGGTTTAAGTAAACGCTTAATTGACAATTTTGTTCTTATCTATCATTTTATGTATTCGTTATCAGCTTCAAAAGTTTGTTTTAAAAAAGTTCTTAAGGAGAGAGGAAAAATCTTTGACGTAGCGCGTCGAAGGTACGTACACCGGCACTCAATCGTCGGTGGCAGAGGCGGAACTCGGGTGGGGATGTCAGTCGGTGGTTCTTGCAAAAAATCTCCTTAATAATAACTAAAATGACAACCTACCCAATAATTAGAACATAACCTGTAATTTTTTATTTTATTTTATTTTATTTTTWGTCAGRCAGGYCAACCATGATTTCATTTCGAACTCGCGACTTTGCCAAACCCCGCCTATTTCCGCCCCCGGCCTTCGTAAAAAAAWAAAWAAAGTTGATTCTTCAGAAAGCACCTGGAACTGTGATTGTTTCGGTTTGTCAGAGACAAATAACAGCCTAGACAACTGAAACCTTAGGTCTAATGACACTGACAATTGCAAGCTGTTTCGATGAAAATTACTTTCAACTGTTGAATTCCTTTTTATTTCCAATTTCCTTTAACGACGCCTGGTTGTAAGAATTGTTTGTCACACTAAGAATTGCCTTGAGCTCCCGACGAAAAAAACGCATTTAAAACCGTTTCAAGGCGTGAAAATTTGCCTGAAGAAGTTACAAATATATCTTGCAAGACCGTAAAATCTCCTAACAGATAGTGGGAATTTTTTATTTTGCATGCACTGACGTACAGTATAGCGTAGTAGACATACAGTTAAGGGGGTCTAAATTGACCTTAAGTTCTTTTCAGTTTTGAGCGAAATAAATAGACACTTTGACGGCTTGGTTGTCATATTTTGACTGCCATATATTCTCTAAAATCTCCCTTAGATTGGGCACTTGAGCTTAATATTAAGATTAATGTTTTTTGTCTGACTTTTATCCGACGAATATGAGCAGTGTTKTGTTTTAGTTTTGTTCGTTTTTGTACGTACAAAAGAACGACGATTCACTCTATCTGTTGCCTCAGTAATTTCTTAGAACTAAGTAAAACACTCAAAAAAATTTTTTTGTCTTCATAGGTAACCATAGTAAAAGCTATCGAGTTGTTCTTCATTTCAATTCGATCGATCATTAAAGATTTAGTGTTTCCTAGATTTTGCGGATGTTCAATGTGACCATGAAGTGAAAAAGAAAGAGAAAAGGCTGGGTGAGACGAAGGAGCAAAGGGGACGGGGACTAGGGGAGAAAAGTGGAGAAATGACAAAAGGAAGCCGATTCATGGCTCTTTTTCATTACGCTTCGCTAATACTATTTAAGCAGCTGTCCCAAAGATAACACATGCAGCAATACGATAACAAAGCTCATCTTTAAACGTGTACATAAGCCTGTCGAGTGGACGACACTTCGACGACGTCTGCTTGGCCGCGATTAAAATTCAACACAAGTACTCTCTCGATGTTTTCATTTCCGAGGGAAAAAGATACGATTTTAATCTAAACTTTTTGTTGAATTTCAACATCATGCCATATAATCCCTAAACGGATGACATTTTKGATTACATTTGGGAAGAGATATGATCTGATAAAAATAAAGTGTACAGTGGGTGTATTCGTTACTCCGTAATAAAAAAACATGTCTTTGTAGCACCAAAGTGTAATGAAAAAGAGTAATTACCAAGGACTAATGAACGTTGTTATGTGATTACTTTTCACAGTTACGTGAGGTATTTCTTCCCTCAGAAAAACAAATAAGACAATCCGGATAATATGTAAAGAAACCAGAGAAGGATCTCTGCAAGCGGACAGGGTAATAAATGTTCCTTGAACAGGCCCGTAGGAAGGGGAGAGGCTGGGCGGGCTCCAGATTCAGRATAAAAAAAGAATAAAACTAGAGAATTTTAAAGCAGTGGTTTGGGCGGCCGACATGATATCAAAACATGAGTTAATCAAACAGAGATTTTTCAAAATTATCTTGGATGCAAGGCCAATATGGAAATTTAAAAAATTAAAAAATGCCACAAATTCCATCAAAAAAAGTCTGGTTTCTTTTGTACTTTCATTCTTTTGTGCTTTCATGTTAGCCTCACATCGAATATATGGTTTTGAAAAGTGTTCATTGGAGCCGGATGACCTTTAAGGAGGCCGGAAGAGAAAAAAAAAGTTATGTAGTTTTTCCTGTGAAATGAAGGAGATAAGCTGTACAACYAACATCCATATATGTCAAGACTGTCGCATGTACAAAACGTGCCTGAAGAATTKAGGACAGTCGAGACGAGCTGCACGAAAACTAGCTCGTGTAACACAAGAAGGAATATTAAGTTCGGATAATCCGGCATTTGATAGAGTGCTTCTACTTAGTGTCGTATATTGGTCTCATTTGCTTCTAAGTAAGATTTTAAAGTAGATTTGATTTCATTTTTTTGCTCGAGCCTGCCTTCATTTTTTGTTTTCAATCCCTAGGACGTTTCAACGTCTATTTGAATATGTGYATACAAAAACACGAAAAATAAGAAAATCAAAAAAAAAAACGAAAAACTCTTTTTGTATTTTTTGCTAGTTTGCTTTCTTGTCCTGCGTTATCGATGATCGATGTAAAATCAAACTGAAAATACTTTTTCCTTTTACTGAAGTTTTCTCTTTTATTCCACCTGTTCTTTATTACTAGAAAAACCTTGCCCTGTATGTTGCTCTACATACTAATCTCTTTCCYTTTCTTAGGTCGCCACAGGTCATATTCAAGTCGATAACTGTATCTTCGAACAAGGACACATCCAAGTGTCKTCCCCTGGCAGCGTTAGYATTCGTTACTGTAGYTTCAATCATTCGTTCATCATYCTACGATCTGTAGGCTTCAGTCGTGTGGAAAATTGCGAGTTCGTCACTGACGACACTTCCGCTATCATCATTGAAGGAATTCCACCAATCACGCGACAGAGACCCACCTCTAGACCGGTCGAAGGCTGGATGGTCGCTAACGGGATCGACTCTTTAGGACTCGAAGATTTATACGATTTAACATTCTCTCACAGCTCCGTTATTTCTAAGAATCGCCATAAGAAAACAAGCAAAGACTCCACAAAAGAGACAGTAGGAGGCACTAAAAAAAATAAAGGTAGCAGCGCGTTGCTAAGAGACAATGATAACCAATCGAAAGGGAGCACAGGCAACCACGTTACCATGGTAACGACAAATGGCCACAGCTACCTTAATTCTGTGACAGACGTTGCGCARCCCCGTAAAGGGAAGTACCAACTAGACACTCAAAGTAGAGACGTAATTCGGTCAATCCATGGCTGCGTRGTTAGAAATAATAATTTTAAGACATGTAAAGGAGCGGTGTTAGTACGTCGGCGCGGACACGCCTGGATCGAGTGTAACGAAATGGCGGGAATCTCMTACGCTGTKCGTTGCATGTCTGGCGCCAAAGTCGTCGTCTTGTACAACACGATTCACAACTGTGACTCATCAGGAATATTTTTCCGTGAAAGATCTCACGGGCTCGTGGCAGGGAATGATATCTTTATGAACAAGGAAGCTGGTGTGGATATTCGAAGTGGTTCGGACCCCATYCTGCAGCAYAACAGGATACACAGTGGGAAGAGGTCTGGCGTGGTGATATTGGACCGCGGGAGAGGTCTGATACGGGATAACGATATCTATGATAACGCTGAGGCTGGAGTGTATATCTTATATCGTGGGAACCCTGTGGTCAAGTAAGTCACCAAAACCTGGGTACTAGTCTGATTTTTATTGCATTGTGCTTCTAACCCCGAATARATTTATTCCAGTGGCGTAGGAAGGGAAGGCGTCTTTTTGTTCTCTTCTAAAATCCTTTTCCCATTTAAAAGTTCCTGATCATCATACGCGCAGACGGCCTTTTTCCTACCTCGCCTCTCTCCGTTCTGACTTCTTGTTGCKTCTATTTTTAAGGCACAATCGTATCTGGTCAGGACAAGCCGCGGGAATCGCCATCACCGAAGAAGGGCGCGGCCACATTACCCATAACGATATCTGTGGAATGGAATGGGGTGGAGTAGACATCAGGAATGGTGGGAATCCTGTGGTATCTAATAACTGGATACGTGATGGTCAGGCAGACGGGATTGTCATTGGTGAAGGAGGCAAGGGCATCATCATGGATAACGACATCCTAGGTGAGAATTTAGAGCCTAATTGATTACTGCAAACATGAAACGTCAACTGACAAGCAATAACATCACATTGGCAATGCGCATACACATTGCGCTCACCTATTCTACTCTGCCTCTCAGTGAATCTTCTGGTCTTGACTTGGTGTACTTAACTTTTGTTCTTCTTTTAACAACAGCCAACAGTGGGTGTGGGATATGGCTACTCACGATATCCAAGCCTGTTATTTACGGCAACCGCATCGGCAAGAGCGGTGATAGCGGCATATCCTTTGTGAGCAGCATTGACGTCATCCATGAAAACCAACAGCTGAGCTCACAGTTCATTCAGCAAGAACAAGATCAGGTTAGATAACATGGATCCGGCAATCAKAGTATTTCCTTTCCTAACCTACATGCCCTGATTCATTCTTACTTTATTTTTGTGTCTCATTTGATAAATACCCGACAAAATGTCACGACTGAGAAAGTCTTTTCTATTTTTGGTATGCCAGTGACGTCAGAGCGGCCATCTTTATTTTTACGAACCAACATGGCGGCCATWTTTTTTTYCCTTTTATTTATTTATTTCTCATGACAAGACATGCACGCCAAAAATACTGTAGTATTGACCCGCTAGTAGTTACCACAAGTTGGATAAAGCTTGAAAAGCTTGAACACAAGGCATATCCGACTCAGTCGAGTTTTACTGTGACTTCTCGAATGCCCTACGTGGCATTGATAAAGCATATCACGGCATACTGAACACACTTTTAGCCGGAACAACTCTAAGTGMGACGCGAAACCGGAAAATTGAATTGTTTAAATCTAGATGTCACAATCCCCCGAGAAAAAAGTGATTTATATTTTTTCCAATATCGACATTTTCAGAGTAATTTCGATATTGGTCCACACCATAAAGTATCTTTTTATAGTGCTTTTTAGAACTAAAAGATGTTTAAAAAACAATGACCCAGTACACGTACCCACAACTTCTGACAGAGCCACTCTAGTTAAAATTCCTTAGAGCGCAAATAGTGTCTACGATACTTTATAAAATCTTATTTTTATCCGTTAATGGCGCTTTGGCGTATGATATATTTAGTCTACGAGACGTTTTCTTTCCATTAAGCCACCAGACAAAAAATGCCTCCAGTATTATTTTACGTATCTTTTATTTGTGAAAAACAAAAAACAATCGCTGCTCTACGGAATCTCCCTCTAAGCTGTTTTTTCCCTTTTCTGTAAATAAACCTGTAATCAAGGTAGCCTGGAAGGGATGTCGGGAAATCCATGGAAGACTTWAAAAAGCTATTAGTAGCTGAGATTTGATCCAAATTGAGGAAGTGCTGTATTAGGATATTAGGTCGGGTTTTGATGCCCAACTTGACCTTGTTCGTAGGGATGTTATCGAGATATTTAAGCTAAAAATAGTAGCATTGATCCAAACTTGTAAACAAGGGATTTGCAGAAGATTTTCATTCAGATAATGAATGAACAATACAAAAAGAAATGAAAACAAATTGATAAAACGAGGGGTCTTAACCCCTGCCCACCCCCGGGGATCCAGTATTATTGACGGGGCCAAACAAGCYATACACCTAAATCCAAAATGGCGCACGGCCGGTTGAAAACGAGGCATCCAGTCCAGGGCCAAATTTACAAATTTACAGCATTTTCTTATAAATTGATGCTGCAAAATTRTCGCTWTCSTGGATGTWWGAAGAAAAGAAAGACAGAACAAGTGAACAAGTGTATCTTTGCATTGACAACATATTATTTATTTGCATTTGGCCCTGGATGCCTCGTCAGCACGTAACACAATCGGCCGTGCGCCATTTTGGCCTTAGGTKTATTCCAAGTGCGCTAAAACATTTGCTGTTTAGTGGAAGTACAGACAAACTGCGCACTTCTAGTGCGCTGTCTCTCAATGCTGTGGTCCTGGGTTCAACCAAACCCACCATCATAAATGAGTAGAGTTTTTTATTGGTTCACTTCTTTGCTTCAGTTGCTTTCCTACCAGGTTTTTCTCCCTGCATACTGATCACTTCTTTCTTTTCTTCCTTTCGATCTTGAATCTTGTTGTTGCTATTGTTTTTTGTTGTTTTTTTTTTTTGTCATTACTATCATCATGTCAAAAACTGATAAATCTTTCCTTGTGTTTTACAGGAGCAGCTGCTTCAACCTTTATTTTACGACGAAGACTTGACGTCATCGTCCAATTTTGATGACCATGACCACACATTAGATTTTACAGGTAGGCTGCTCACTCAGTCGTTATGTCATGTGGTACTATCACCACCAGCCCTTTCCATATGATCCTTTTATTGAGTGTTAACACCTACACTCAATCTAACTGCCTCCATAAATCACGCTTGAATCATCGTGAGCCAGGCCCGGCTCTCTTACGAAGGACTTTTGACTTGACCTGATACGTCAGTTCCTATCACTTTATTGAGTGTCAACACCAACACTCAGTCTAACCGCCTGCATGGATCACACCTGATACTTCAGTTCCTACRCCTTTATTTAGTGTTGTTACCACCCATTATCGATCTAACCTGGYCCAATGCTGGACTCTTTTCTTATCATGCTGACTCAGATCCAGCACCCTTATATTAGTCTTTTGACTTGACCTGCTCTCTCTCCCTATATAGTCGACCATGTTTAGCTCTTTTTCAACTCGATACTGTGACTTTGAACTATCATGCTCCACGGAACAAAACTCTTCCACGTGGATCAATAGCTAATAATTATTTTACAGCCGTAAAAACATTGGTTTACTTGAAGAACAGCGTTCTTATAATGTCCCATTTAAACCTTAAGACCTGTTGGTCTAGTGCGCACCTTCGAACCAACCTTGGTTTACTTAGAGATCAGCGTTCTCGTAACTCCTTAACGTCTTATTCAACCTTTAAAGACCTGTTGATCTAGTGCGCAGCTTCGAAGCGTAGTTTGTTTTGTGCGCAAAAGAATATGACAGTGCGCTATTCATTTCGCTGAGTGCGCGCAGTTAGAACAAAACTCTAAGCAGTGTTTGTAATGTTAGCAATATGACTAGGGATGGCAGGAGGAATTTTTAAAAAATTTCATATTTTAAACATTACCTTGATAAGGATTTTTGTCTCATCAGGCCCCAGACCGGACAAGAACTACGCCACAATAGATAGCAATACGATATACGACAATRCGGGTCACGGCATTCACTTCTGCGCCAATGAAGGACTCCTAATYAGGGACAATAATATCCATAGYAACAAGGGCTGCGGTATCAGTATCGTAAAGCCAGCGGACATCACCATTCAGGACAACGGTGTGTGCAAAAACGAGGGATCCGGCATTATCATCGAYACCAATTCTTCGGCTAGTATCCATGGTAACGGTATCTATGGAAACCATAAACATGGTTTACACATCTCAGGGAAAGGAATAATCCGAGAAAATGATGTGTTTTCGAACTTATTGTGCGGGATCCAAATCTGTGGTCCTGGGGATCCGTTCGTAACGCGCAACCGCGTGCAGTCCACAAGGCATCATGGGATTAGTATYATGGAGAACGCTCGRGGATTYGTCGAATGGAATGATATCTATGAAAGCAAAGTAGCTTCGCTATATCAACATCCTGAAAGCACTACACACTTGTACAATAATAATGTTGTTCAAATCAAACTCGCCGAGTCCAAGGCATTTTGTACGTACGACACGGAATCCAAGACTTGTAAACTGGACGAGTCTGTTGACRTGGAAGGSGAACCTTCACGCCCAAGGCCGAGTAATATTAATAAGTTGAACGAAAAATCGAACAAGTTAACATCYATTAGTTCTTCTGGTACTACGAACATCGTCTCTWTATACACGGGATGTCACGGGAGAACACGATTTTGCGTGATCTCGTAACTCCTTCTCTATTTACACGATCTGTCACGGTTTTGATTGATCTCATAACTCCGTCTCTATTTATATGGTCTGTCACAGGAGGACACGGTTTGCATGATCACGTAATGTCCTCTCTCCTTACGCGGTCTATCACGGGAGAACACGGTTTTGCGTGATCACGTAATGCCGTCTCTCCTTACACGGTCTGTCACGGTAGAACACGGTTTGCGTGATCCCTATGATTGACTGTTTGTATTATAAACGAAAAAGAATTCTAATGTAGACACATGATGTGTGCATCTGTCCATGRCGCATTGACCTCTACTACCAGACTCCCTTGCACACTTTCTTGGAATACAAATTTAAATCACRAAGAAAATTCTCGAAGGATGTTGGTAGTGAGAGTCAAATGACGCCATCAGACAAACGCCCTATTATGGCCTGACTACACAGGTTAGTTGATAGAAGAAAATGTATTTATTGAGAAATTTAGGTTATATCTTTGCAATTTCAGGCATGGCTTAGATATTTGTGCCAACTGTAAATATTAAATATGAAGAAAAGATAAAGATAGAGAAAATTTCTGGTCTACAAACCTGGATTTCAATTCTTATATTACTTATACATGTCTTGAACATCTAAAATATGCTATTTTGTAAAGCTTAGAGAGACAAGGCCTTGAGCAAAGGTGTCACTCTTCTGTGGTGGATTT